TTCCTTTTTTATTAGCTACATTTTTGTGTGATACCAAGCATGGGGTGCGCATATACCCGATTCGATTTTATTATTCATCAGGATCTCTACCAGCCTACCCTCAGTTTGAAATTCTTTTAGGTAGGATTAGAATAAATTAATCTATGAGACCTTTGTTTCCCTTTTTACTAGTCACGTTTTTGTGCGATACCAAGCATGGGGTGCGCATATACCCGATTAAATTTTATTACTCATCAGGATCTTTACCAGCCTACCCTCAGTTTGAAATTCTTTTAGGTAGGATTAGAATAAATTAATCTATGAGACCTTGTGCGTGGTCAAATACATCAATCGAAATAATTTGATCTCATGAGTCCAAAACTGTAATTAGATCTCAAATCCACCAAGAAATGACGGAGCTATGAGCTGAAAGTTTGTACTTGGAGAAAAACAAACAAAAAACCCAGAGCTGTTCAATGAGCCGTTCAGCCGCGGCTAAAAATCTATCATGTAGGCAAGGGCAAATCAAAGTCTCAACTAACGAGATTTTGTAATTCAGGTTTTCGTATTTTGTGTTAGTAGTCTGTATTCTGAATGGATTGATGGATTTTTCGTTTTTCCACAATGTTACTAGGTAGGAACTCAACATGAGTTGTGTTCGTATATATACATCCCTGGTGTTAGAATAAAGTAAACTTTGCTAAACGAGTAATGGCGAGAACTTCAAGAGTACTTAGATATTGCTTTACTTTACTTTTCCATTAAAAGGGAATTCGAAAAGTGAATTACAGAGGAAAACCAGGCAAAAGTGGAAAGTGGGATTAAGTTAGAGAGCAAAAACACTTGAGTCATAACTATTAATTCCAAAAGAAGACATTGCCTGAAAGTCTATAGGTAATTCTTTCAGGTATTTGGTTTCACTTTATATAATCTTGTCTTTACAATTCTCGATTACACGTTATTTGTGCCAATGAAGCTGCAAAAGTCGTTTGACCTTCTATATAAAGCTCCAATTTGTATTTTGGGGTGCTATTTCAGTCGTAGTAGAAAGCATACAAGCTGGGTTATACATAGTTTTAACAATTTACATAAAGTTATCAAGCTTGAAGCTAAACCTTGGAGTAATAGATTGGCTTTAATGTTGACTTGAGAACTTTTAAAACTATCTTGTGCATTCGCTGTTTCTATTGTTTATCATTGAGTTTATCATCAAGTTCGCAGTTTCGTTCCTGTCGTAATGTCTTCTCAAGACGAGTTACTTCTAAGTTTTTAATTTATGTTTGTGTAACTGCTAACAACTTTAATGAATCATTAGTTTTTATTTACTATGGCCTCAGTTAGCTCCTTTCTCTTCAGGACTTCCACGATTAAATGCTTTATATAATAATCGTGGTAGCTTTATTGTTGTTCTAACGAATAAAACAACTTGGCCGATTAAGTGCTGTTAGACACACGATGTGATTTTACAATAGTACATCTAATAATTTTTCATTCTTTAGCAAATTGTGGATCAGAAACCTAATTATTTAATTGGTGGTGGAACATGTTCACATTATAAAACAAGAAAAAAAAAAGACAAATATGTCGATTCATTTTCATACACTATAGCAAAGGTTCCCAACCTTTCTCAACAGAAGGATCCAAGAACATTTAGTATTCTGATTGAGACTCCCACCAAGTGAATCTATAGATACTGAGTACTTTAACAGTATTATGTATTTTCTACCCCTCCCCCACACACTGACACTTTCCTGTAATTCCTTTGGGGTCCACAACATCCCAGTTTGGGTACCCATGTTCCATAGCACATTAAGACTATCATTGGGCGTAATAAGAAGATGTATGCAACGATTAACAAGTGCCTTGATATAAACAACAACAACTGAAGTGGTCTACGTATAAGCTGTCTGAAGGTGTTTTATGATCGTGAAGTAATACAGTAAAAAAGCGTAACTACTAACTGAAATCGCCAAGTTAACACACGTACTGATACAGTTGAGACGTATAGCACAAAAGGCATGAAGACTGAGTTGTGGGCTATTACACGCTAATAACAAAGCATTGACAGCTGTCATAAACATCATCTTACCAAACTTTTGTCAACAGTTGGTGATAATCGTCGGTTTTTAGCGGGTTTGTTTGTTTTGAATTTCGCGCGAAGCTGCACGAGGGCTATCTGCGCTAGCCGTCATTAATTTAACAGTGTAAGAC